GCAAGTGGCAATGCTGTGCTCCGTTTAATTTCTTATATACCGCAGCAAATTAATTATAAATTATTTTTTGATAACTGGTTTTGTTCCCCAAATTTGCTAGTCGTACTCGCTCAAAGAGGGATATTTTGCGCGGCACGGTCAGAGGTAATCGACTTCCAAATATAAACTTCCCAACAGATAAGGAGTTTAAAAAAAAGGCGAGGATTTTTTGTTTCAAAAAAAAACAATAATAAACGGAGTGAAGCTAAATTCAGTGTGGCACGACAATCGTGCTGTGACTTTATTAAGCACTTTTGTAGGTGCACATCCTCTAATAGACTGTGAAAGATATGATAGGAAAAAAAAGGAAAAAATCATGATAAAATGTCCAAATATTGTTAAAATATATAATAAATCAATGGGAGGTGTAGTTCTCATGGATTCTCTACTTTCCTTATATAGAATTCATATGAAATCAAGAAAATGGTATTATAGAATTTTATTTCATATGTTTGACATGTTACTTATAAATTCATGGTTGCTATATAAACGTGATTGTAATAGTATATCAATAGCACGCAAGGATCGATTAAGTTTGTACAATTTCAAAATTTCAGTGGCGGAAGTCCTTTGCAAATATGGCAAATGCACTTCAAACAATATACCAAAACGAAAATCAGTTCAAACTGGTTATCGGGAAAAATGTAAAAAAGGACCAGCTCAATATTTACCACTTGAAGAGGTTAGGAAAGACCTCACGGCTCATTGGCCAAAATATAATGATAAGAAGGGTAGATGTAAAATGCCAGGATGCTTATTTATAACAAAAGTATCTTGCAAAAAATGTGGTGTATATTTATGTTTTACGCCCACAAATAATTGTTTTATAGATTTTCATGAAAATTATAATGTTTAAACCTTTAACATTTGTTGTATTTAAATAAAATTTTATATATTTATAGTTTAAAGTACAATAAAAATTATTGTGGAAATAATTGAAATTTGTATACTTAATTGCATAATGTGTATTTAAATCCACATACCGTTCATCTTCTAAGAAATTTAGAATTTTTTTTAAAAAAGTGAGCCATGAGATTATCAATAGTATCTAGAGAAATAAAAAATCTAGTTTGCCAAAAAAAAATTATTCTAACATAGTACATGCAATACAGGGTTAGTATAAATTAATAAATAAATTTTGAATTTACCCATTTTAGGCACATCGTAGATTTCAATTGGTGCTTAAAGTAAACTTCTAGAAAAATATTCATCAAACTCGGAGAAATCAGAGGACATTGCGTCCATGCTTGTGCAAAGCCTTGAAAATTGTAACTTCCATTATCAAATATAACAGCTTTTGTGCCGATAACGTAAGTGTGTATTTCAGAAAAAGATAAATTGTGGTGAGTGAATTATTAGTTTTGAGTGAAAATATTATCCCCATTGGTTGCCTGTACCATACAATTCACAATGTGGGAAGAAAGGGAAATGTTTCATTATAAATAGACAAAGAAATAATTGCCAAATTCAACAGATCCACGAACAGGGTATCTATTTTAAAAAAAATATGGATTCTCGAGATAATGAATGGTCCGAATTCCTATAAATTGCTTTATAAGAATATGGCTATCATTAATTATGGCTCTCAAAAAACTTTATAAAAATTATTCAGCTGTTAAATCTTATTTTTTATCCTAAAAATCCCAATTTAATATTATTATTTTTTGAAAAAGTAAAGCCCGAAGATTATTTAAGTCTAGTTATTAATATAGGGACGACCTGTAGTTAAAAAATTCAATTGTAGTGGAAATGTTTCATTAATAAATAAATTAATTAATTATAACTTTAAAAACCCAAGTTATCGATTACTTTTATAGCTCGGTTGTAAGACAAAATCTTATAAAATCTGATGATCATGATAAAATCGACAATCATTTCGTATTTAGAAAAAAAAGTGAATTTACTAATAATAAATGGGAAAATCTAAGTATTATGAAATTCGAAAATAATCAGGTTCGGGGCGGACCGGGTCTAATATTTTTAAAAAAATTAGGGCCGGGTCGGGTCGGACCTTGGAATTTTTTTTAAATATATCTAAATTTATCAATTTTATATTGAATTTTTTATGTAAAATAAAAATATTTGATTTTATTTATTGAAACTAAGCGACATAACATATGTCTTTTATTTTGAGTAATTATAAAAATTAATTTCTATATTTAAATAAATTCGGGCCGGGCCGGCAAAACTATTTTAAAAAAATTTCGGGTTCGGGCCGGCAAAACTTTTATAAAAAAAATTTCGGGCCGGGCCGGGCTTGAAAAATTAGGCCCGATGCAGATCACTAGGTAAAGATTTTAAGGAATATGTAACAAATTATAAAAATTTGAAATAACATTAAATCTTCTGAAAAATATGTACTGATTTTTTAAATAGTATCTATTAATTTTATATTAAAAAAATAGTATCTACCTTTATTTTACTGCGTATTAGTATATTCAAAATAAATAAAATAACCGTCGAAGAAAAAAATAAATATTATTTGTTATAAAAAAATAACAATCGGAGAAAAAAATTAATATTTGTTATAAAAAATTTTTTTTTGAATTTTAATTAATTTCTCCTGCTTTTTTTTGAACAAATCTGTCTACCCTGCTGGTCTTACCTATTAGGAAAATAATCTAAAATGTGATTGAAACTATGCAAATAAGCATTCTTTGGAACATTATCAACCACAGTTGACCTTTAATTTATAATTTATTCAGCTAGTAATGCATCATGGGATTAACTCCCTTACAATAAAATCTACTAAATATATAATTTTTTCTCTATAGATTCATGGAAGGATTCTGAGTTAATAATATTTAGCAGATTTGTAGGTGCTGCCTGATGAATTGAAAATATTTATTTCATTTGAGTAATAAAAGAATTCAAGAGGGGGATAAAGAAGTGTATTATATAGTATTTTTTCAACTGACCTTGGAATGCTGGGTATTTGCTGCAAGTCAAGGTAGACAAATATCTAATTCATAGAGCTCTGCTTTTGACTCAATATGACATAATTTATGAAATTTATCATCTACATTCCTAATTTCTTTAAGTTTCAATACAACTATTTTTGAAGAAATATCTTTTTCATGCCATTTTTATTTTTTTTATCATATTCTTCATAATATATTTGGCCTTTTCTCTAAAAATTTATAGAAATCTTGGAAGAATGAATATGGATAATCTATTCCTCTCATTTGACTATTCTGATTCAATCATCAAATAAAGATAAAATTTATTATTTATCCATAAGGAAAAATTCTGATTCCCCGTCATTCTTGACGGGCTATCAGCTAGTTTATATATATATTTTTGAAAAAAATATATTTTTCCTCTTCGTAGTTCTTAAGGTATTTTTATATTTTTGTACTTTTGATACAAACAATTGAATTAGAACATGGTTCCATTATATTTTACTTATTTCTTTATGAAATATAAGATAAGTCCCAAATAAATGATTGATTTTTATTATGTTAACTTTTAAAGCTTCTAGCCAACCATGTTAGAGTCATTTTAAAATTGGCCCTGGCATATTGATTTCACAAGTTTTGACTTTTAAAAAATGCACAATTATATATTTAATTTTTTAATGTTTGGTATTTTTAAGTTTCCTTTTGCTCTTATTTAGCATTTCCCTCTTCATGGCATTTGAAAATGTCTTCTTTGTATTTATGAATATTGTGAATAGTTTTAAGATATATTAAAACTTTTAGCACATTCACTTTGGGTAATATTTTTTAGAAATTCAATCACTTGAATAATAAATGAATGCAATAAACCATATGCCCAGTTTATAGTGGTCTTATGCAAATGAAAAAAATTAGGGATGTACCGATATTTTATATCGGATCGGATCGGGCCGATATTTTGCCCATTTTAAAATATCGGTTATCAGAAAATATTATAAAATTTTCCGATCCGATATAAAATGGCGCTTTTAACAAAATTTAAAAAAAGTTATATCTAAAAATCCATTTGTTTTTATAAATAAAATCGGAATATATTTTTATGCTTAATTATTTTAATAGTAATAATTAGTTAATAAACATTTTGCAATATAGTTATTTTTTTTCGCATTCTGTTTAAAAAAGTTTCATTAATCTCTTCAGAATCTGTTTTTAGTGATATTAACAGTCCCCATCACCGCAGACCGATCTCTGATAAATTGGAAATTTTGGTATTTCTAAAAAGAAATCTTCGATAAATTAATTTTATATATTAATTTCAAATTTCAATATATTTGTTTATTACTAATTATGTAAATAGATTAATGTTATTACTTATTATATAAATAATTGCAATTGAATTGAATATAAACTATAACTGATCATTATAATATATTTAAATGACATATGTTATGGTATAGTAAAATTATAGATGTTGTACTAATAAAAAGAATATTAAAAATTAAAACCGGTATCTTTACAGAATACAAAATTAGATATGATATCGGATCAGTTATCGGCCGATATCAATTAAATATCTAAAATATCGGATCGAATCAGCCTCCAAAAAGTAGTATCGGTACACCCCTAAAAAAAATTATATTCTGTCTTTAGAAATATTAAACCTATTAGCACATTATAAATTCAATCACTTCAATAAATAAATGAATGCAATAAACCATATGCCCAGTTTATAGTGGTCTTATACAAATGAAAAAAGTTATATTCTGTCTACTTTTCAAAGTAAACAATTTGTCAAGGCACTTTATAATAGTTTATAGGAATTTTATTGCTCAGTTTAATTAAATTAGTGAGCTGCCCAAATTATTAAAAAATCAAATATTAATGATGAGCTTTTTTTTAATAAAGATGCCATTTTATATGATAGTATAATTCAATAACAGGGGCCAATAACCAATATTAAAAAACCAAACCAGTCATATGACAAAACTTATCCCACAACATCTACTTATTCTAACAACAAAGTGTCCAAGACAAAATAAAACTATGTATAATAAATGTATGTACTTCATTTGTAAATATTTAATTTGATCCTTTATAAATATTGGCTCCATTGGTATAAACATATGCAAAAAATTGAAGATATTTTGCATAGTTATTGGTTTAACATGGTGACATTTATTACAATACCATAATATATTTTCAAAATTTAAATGATTAGGATTGGACAACAGTTTATCTAATTCCATAAACATATTTAATTTCAATCGAGGCAATTGCTAGAATAAACTTAAATATATTTATATTTAATCAAACCCAATAATTATGATCCATTTGGAGAATTTTATGTCTTTTAATCTCATTTTTAGCCATATGACTTAATTTTGCACCTTGGGAAATCAAATTATTTAGATGATTATTAATTTCATTACTTTTTTTATTCATGTCACATGTTAAAAATAAAGAGTGCGATCCGGTGTAACTAAACTGAGAATTGACCGGTAAATCGACAGGTAAACTGAGAATTGACTAATATTTAATTTTATTTTATAGACTTTCAATTGTAATTTGAAAATATAAATAAATTGTTTTTATTGCATAAATCTTTATCTAAAATTAAATAAATTTAAAATAAAATATAGAATATAGAAGAAAATGTAGTCCTGAAATTTTTAATATGTATAGAACAGAAAATATAAAACACATAATAAATTTTTTAAATCATAAATATATTCAGTTAGATGGCGTATTAGATTAATAATTATTGGTTTTTAATTAAAAATAATATGAATTATAAGGGCATAAATTTTTGTTCTGGATTAATTTATTTGGTACAAACTTATATAATCATAAAATAAAAAAATTTGAAGTTTCCATCACTATTTTGGAGTTATGATGTCAATTCTCAGTTTAGTCAATTTTTTTAGATTTTTGGTATTTAAAAAATGTTTTATTTTTTTGTTTCATTTTGTGTAAAATAACTTATATAAACATAAAATGAAAAAAATTTGAAGTTTCCTTCACTATTTTCAGGGTTATGATGTCAATTCTCGTTTATCATTTTTTTAGATGGGATAATGTAGGACTGAGGTAACGAATTTAGCTCAAATGTTACCTATATTTTAATTAGCTTCTATTTTATAGTAATATCCTATTTAGTGTTGATAAAAAATTTCATAGCCCTCCAAGACCTAGAGCCCATTTAGAGTTTAATTATTATTACAAAAAAAAATATTTTTATAACCTTTTATTTGATACCCTTATCAAAAAATTATTTTTTGCACCCCCATCCTTTCCACCATGCACCATCCCAGACCAAGTCATACCCATCAAGACAAGCAAAAGATACTTAAATTAGCTTTTATTTGATACCCATATAGATATTTTGTGTTGATAAAAATATTCCTGACCCCCTAAGGCCTAGACCCGGATCTATGAGTGATTATTATTATTACAATAAAAAAATATTTTAATTACCTTTTATTTGATACCCATATCAAAAAAAATTAATTTTTTTCTCCCTACCCCTTTATCCATCCCTCAGGCCAAGTCATACCCATCAAGACCAAGAATGAAAACTTTCAGTCAAAAGATTTTAAAATTAGATATTATTTGATAACCATATCGGTATTTTGTTTTGATAAAAAATTTCTCCCCCACCCCCAGACCTATTCACGCATTAAGGGGGAGAGATTGACCTCCAGTTGAATAGATCTTTTGATTAGCTATCGAGATACCCTATATTAGACATATCTTATTTCAAGGCAAAAAAACAACATTAAAAATTAATAAATAACAATAAAATTAAAAAGAAATAGAACGAAATCGCAATTCCTCTTTATCACGATTAAAACGTGATAATACCGTATTGTCATTCCTTAATTTAAAACCCTAATTTTTTATTTATCTTTTTAAAACCCGTGATGATCCCGGATAGTTCTGATCCCTTTAAAAATTACGACATATATACTGTGTAAAATAATAACGCACCCATTGTTGTTTCCTTTTGTATTCTCGTTTAATATATTTCGCCATTTTGGATTATATTACTTTTCTATTGATACAAAATTTTCAATTTTTATAAATAAAGTAAAAAAGGCCAATGTACTTGGCTAAATTTTATCATGTACCAATTAAGGACATAAAATTCTAAGAAATTGGGTTTTTCATATAGATTATTTAATTGTTAATGGAGAATTATAATTCAATAACTAATTGGGGGCCATTTGTGGGGCCCAAAAATTATCAAGGGGCCAGGTTTGGTGGGCGAAATTTTTAAGGGGGCAAGGCCTCCCGTGGCTTAAGGTCTACACTACGTGGGACTTTTCATTTTTTGTTTACTATTCCTTTTTTAATTGGACTTTCCTAAACCATAAGTACCTTTTTTATTACTTTTCTTTTTTAATCGGACCTTTTCCTTTTTTGATTGACATTTTTTCCTTTTAATCGAACTTTTTCCTATGATTGACACTTCCTTTTTGAATGGGAAACCCTGTTATCTATTTCTCAATAACTATTTTATAAATCAATTGTGTTTGTATCTATACTTATGATTAGGCCATATCCAATCTTTTTAATCGAGAACATACCCTTTATATCTCTAGTGCATATTTTTTCTTTACAATCTTTATCACTTTTTAAAACATCACCTTCTTTTTGAAACTTTTTCAATATTCATACTTTTTTAAACCTATCTCACAACTCTTGTACTTTAAAAAGAAATCATCTATTAATTAAAAATTATACCCAATTTTCCTTTTCTCTTCAGAAATCTTTAATATCTCATTATCACCATCATTTAAAAAAACTATTTCTTCCCTTTCCTTAAATTTGCCTCTAATCACTAAGTTCCAAAAATTTTGTTTTCTTATAATTTCTTATATTATCATCGATACAACTACAACATAAATGTTCTTAAATCTTATCTAATATAAATGCTGACTTATTTAAATCTTTGTTTTTCATTCCAGGCTATTAGCTAATCAATGTTATATTTGAATTAAATCTTTAATATCTACCAAAAAATCTAATCTCTAATTGAGATCTATTGCGATCTTTTATTTCTATGACGGCTGCGGAGAATCTTATGTTTTAATTCCTAATACACCAAATATTATCACACCGATTTCATAAAAAATTTTATTTCCCAAATTAATACTAGTTTTCCTAAATCCTATATATTTACTTTTTCAAAATTTTATTTTCTTTTTCCCTACATTGAATATTTATTAACTTTTCGTGATCTTATTATTCATCTCACTCTAATGTTTTAATATTAAATATCCATATTTCTTTAATCGTTTCTTCTTTCTTGTACAAAATATTTAATTCTCATCTTTAATTGATCTGTTACTGAAAAATTTTCAAGATATTCCCTATTTCATCAATTATCTGTTTCAAACATATTTCTTATATACTTTATTTATTTCTTTTTTTTGAACAAAAAATTAAATCTTTATAAATTTTGCCTTGATATTCCTCCTAGATCAAAAAATATTTAAAAAAATATCTATATCTATAATACTAATACGATTTAATCATTATCTTTTTGTTCATAACTATCACCTTGCCATATCAATATAAAATTAAATTTTATATTTTTTTTAACCCTCTTATTTATCGAATTATGCTAAATTTTTAGGTACATGGTAAATTTTTATTTGAACCATCAGCAACACTTTTATAAGTAGTTGTGTGTGTGGATGTAAACTACTTATAATTAATACTAATTTAATTTATTTTATACAATTATATTTAATCATATAGAAAGTTTAATCATAAAAATAAAATTACAAAAGTATAAATATATAATTAAAGGTAAGAACTTATTATATAATCACGTGATAAATAGTGAAATAAAAATTTATCAATATTCATATTAAAATTTTAACGTATTTTTAGGTTCCCGTTTTATATCCCTAAAATGGGAATCTTGCTTATATCTCCTAGAAAACTTTTAAAGTAAATTTGAAATCGATAAGCGATTTTTATTTTTACGATTTAGAACCTATTTTTATTCTTAGGAACGTTCTGGACCGTTTCAGGAAGGTTCCAGAGTACACATTTTATCAGATATAATAATTCCAATTTAAATTTATCAACAAAACCTTATAAATGTTTTCTCCATTTGTTAAAAAGATACTGTTTTTTGTTGCAATTATTATTTTTAAATTTTTTCCATTTTGAAGTTTTTTTCACGCAATTTATTTTTCCGTAGTTTTTATTTCCTTCAGATTTTTTCCCCATTTTTTTTCCATCAGGTTTTTTCTCCACTGGATTTTAAAAAAATATCCCATTTTTAGAATAATTTTTTATTTTGTTTTCCTATTACATATCATTATCCTAAATATTATTTAATAGATTATATTTTTTTTGAAAAAATGCTATATCTTACAAACTGCAATAATATGCGATTTAAATATAATTTAAAAAAATTGATAAATATCTGAAATATTTAACCTAAAAATCATTAAAAGCATAGACTTATAAAATTAAGGTTGCAATCAGGGTTGCCGGTCAAAATTTTCAAATTGCGGGAGAAATTTGGTATTTTGCGGGGTAAATATGAAAATGGCTAAAGTGCTGGCCTTAGGCCTGGTTTGTAAAATGGCTTAGTTATCCCACTATTATTTCTTATAATTACTTTATATAAATATTTATAAAGTCGGTAACATCTTATAATATTTTTAAAATAGGTAATATTTTCCAAAATAGGTAATATTTTTCAAAATTGGTAATATTTTTTAAAATGGGTAATATTTTATACTTAGTTTTAATTTCTACTTCTTTGTAGTAGACTTACTTTATTTATTATATAAAAGAAAATAATTTGATCAAACGAGACAAATTATTTTTTAAATAACATCTTTATAATAATTAAATTTATAAAAAAAATACCAATCTATATAAAAGAAGGTAGCAAGATAAAATCTTATAAAAAAATATATAAAATAGATAATTTTATGCGAATATATACAAGGTTTTATAAAATATAAAAAAAATATGGAAAACATTAATTATATTTTATTTGAGATTTAAATATTGGTACTAAAAGTTTACCTATTGAGATATTTATAATGTTGGCATGACATATAATTATGTTTAACCATGAGGTCGGCCTCTAATGTTGTTACGGCATTTCTCTCCTTTCTCCAGGCTGTCCTCATCAGGCCAAAAATGCTCTCCGATAAGGCATTCGAAAGAGGTAAGTATAATATATGTGGGCATTTTTTTTCTAAATGTAGGGATTAATGTTATTATGAAAAAATTCTACCTATTTCTCTTTTACTTTTAGTCCATCTTTTGGAGTATTCTGGAGAATCATAAAAAACTGAGAGCATAACAATCGCCTCAATATGACATCAATATCTATCAATATTGTAAATTTATTAAATTATAAAATTCATCAATTGATGGTTTCTGTTTCAAGATCATATACTTAAACATTTGTAAATAGTTATTAAAT